ATTGCAGGGGAAGGTAGAATCTCCACTGAGTGGTTTCCAACCTGTCTGGACAGGGCTGGTGAAAGATGGGGATAAGACTCATGTGGCACAATAGTGAATAACTGTTATCAGGACTGACTGTGAGGGTTGGAAATGTAAAGGCAGACATTTTGTAGCAAAAGGAGGGAAATGGTTGACTTTATAGTCCAGGAGTGGAGGACCCTGGGACCATCAAGGGAGAGAGCAAAATACAGAACCCTATCCAGAGAAGCAGTTAACACCAGATGTGAAGGCAGAAATAATGACGTGGAAAGACTGAGCAGCTGGGGACTCTGGACTCAGGGAGGGAGAGGGTCTGTGTGTTGATGGCCAGGGGGCAGGCATGCAGGGTGTACCCTTTGGCTGTTTGGTGATGCATGCAGGGAATTGTAATCATTGCAATGAAATGAAATAAAGATAGGATGAATGTAAAGCTAATGTTCTCCCATTTAAACTATCACATAATTCACAATAAAAATAAAAATAATAAAAAAATAACAGGCTCCTAAAAGGTCCTACTATGCCTCTTCTGAGTCTCTCAAGGCTTTGACCTCCAAGTTTTCCTGTTCCGGTTATCATTCTGGATGACCCAAATTTTAAAACCTTCATGTCTCTTCCAGTTTCATGTCCTCGGCCATGACTGACCTGGTTCAGAGCAGATTAAAGTTCTAATAAGATCATCCAGCTTCTTCAGTAACACTGCTGATTTCCATCAATGCCCATATATTTCCTTTTGAACCTAACCTTGTTAGTTCTGGAATAATCTACTCTGTAATAGTATATTATTCTTTTATTAAATTTTCACATCTAATTTACTAAAGGAACTCTGGTAGCGTAGTGGTTACAAGTCGAGCTGCTAATCTCAAGGTCAGCTGTTAGAAACTACCAGTCGTTTCTCGGAAGATTAGGCTTTCTGCTCCCATTAAGATTTACAGCCTCAGAAACCCTAAACAGGACCACTGTGAGTCAGAACCAACTCCACGGCACATAACCACCACCACGATTTACTAACATTTAATCTAGAAGAGTTTCTCTATAACAATAGGAAAAGTCAGCTTATCACTCTTGTTTGCCTTCCCCAAGTTTGTTGGTAAGTCTGTCTGCTCCCACAAAGATTTATAGTACTGAAACCCAAAGGAGTTCTAGTCTGTCATATAGGGTCAGTATGAGTAGGAATTAGGGGCTAGATAAGACTCCACTGTTAGCTCATTTGATCCTGGCTTTTTCTAGGTGTGGAATCTCAATCAATTTTCCAAACTCTTCTACAGTTTCTGATCTATTCAAGTTTTCTTCATGAAATGTAGTTTACATTTTTCTAGAAAAGCATGAAAATTTCTTCAAAGTTTCCAAACCTATTGCCATACAGTTGCACTGTCTTTGGTCCTTTAAACATCCCTGTTATCTACTAGTCTAGAGCTGCTACTGTTGTTGTCATGTGCCATCAAGTCGATTCCAACTCATAGTGACCCTGTACTGGGTTTCCAAGGAGCAGCTGTTGAGTTTGAACTGCCAACCTCGTGGTTCTAACTGACCTTGCAGTCCTATGCTGTATCCCACAGTGCCACATCAGGACTCCAATACAGCGCAGCAGTGGTTCTCAAAGTGAAGAGCAGCAACAGAATCACCTGAAAACTTTTGTTTGAAATGCAAATTCTCAGGTGCCACTGCAGACCTCGGGAATCACTCTCTCAAGGGTGGAGAGTTCAGCAATCTGAGTTCTGACCTATCCTAAAGGAGATTTTGATGTAGTTTACAGGTGAGAACCTCTGGCAGCCATAATCTTCACATGAGAAGCATCTACCGATTAAAAGGAAAATTCCCACCACCAACCTCACTCACCAGATCATTCCTTCAAATAGATTGTGAATAACAAGGTGGGACTGGGTCACAACAATCAGTAAGGTTACATGGGTCCAGCCAAACTGCAAAAGAAAATTAGAGTAAGCTCAACTTATCTACCTTGAACGTAACGCCAAAGAACCATCAGTACCAAACAGAAAATGGCAAACAGGCAGGAAAAACCTGCTCCTGAACCTGTCTTTTTGGAAAGGAAAGGAGACAGAACAGGCCTCTGGGAGTCTAACTTTGTCCCTGAGCTACACTCCCCATCTCAAACAGCCCCCCTCAACCACAAAAAAAATAGGGAAACCTGGAAAAGTGCATGTGTGCGTATGCACCTCCTATTGGTTCTTCTCTGGAGAATCCTGACGATATACAAATGACGCACCAGGCAGGCTATCTATGGGTAAGACGTGAAGCCTCACCTGCACCTTCCCTGGAGCCCACTGTCAAGGCCCTAGTGGAGAGGGTGTTGAAGGTTAAGAAACAGTCATTGGGTCTAGGTGGACAGCAAGCTGCCAAATAAATGGCTTCTCTTCCCTTCATGCTCCAAGTTCTAGCCCATACAGGACAGATCATGTGTCAGCTAGAGCTCTGAACTCATCACTGACAGATAGAGGAGCCTGCCGTGTTTCTGGACAGTTTCCTTTAAGCCAAGAAGCCTGCCGCACACACAGAGGCCTCTCCCTTACCATGTAGAACTGCAGTCGGTAATGCTTCTTGACCAGACTCAGCACAAACATGCAGAATCCTGTTTGAGAAAGAGGAGAAGAAAGGACAAAATGATTCACCACATCCTGATCATTTCCTTCAGCTGTGCTAAGGGGGCCTTGGGCTCATTTCTTGGCAGCCACAAACCAAATTTAAAAAAAAAAAAGAGTCATCCAGATTTTTTTTGGGGGGGGCGGGCAGGGGGAGATAACTACTCTTTCAAAACAATCAGCCTATTGAAGGGAGTATTTTAAAATCTTGCAGATTACACCCAATTTGGAGTCCCGGTGAGGCACAGTGTGGTAAATGCTCTGGACTGCAAAGTCAGTGGTTCAGGCTCACCAGCCACTCCTTGGAAACCCTATACAGGGTTCCCTATGGGTCGGAAATGACTTGGAGGCACTTAGCAACAACAACACTCAATTTACGACACCCTTTGCCTGAAAGGGGTCAGGAAACAATAACCAGGCCAGCTGCTGTTTTCCTAAACACTGGAACACAGCCATGGCAATTTATGGCTGCTGTCACGCTTCAACGGCAGAACTAGCAGAACGTAGTAGTTGGAAGACAGATGGGGTAGCCCCAAAGCCTCAAATATTTAGGACCTACAGAAAGGAACCCTGGAGATGCAGGGGTTAAGTGCATCCATTCCTCAGAAGAAAAAAGTGGCGTTCTGCTTCCTTAAAGACGGCAGCCTAGGAAACCCTGTGGGGCAGTTCTACTCTGTCCTCTAGGGTATCACCAGGAGTCACAATCAACTTGAAACAGCAATGGGTTTTTTGCTTTTGTTTGTTTTTCCAATTTTTGTTCTAAAGAATCGAAGGGGACGGGGGGGGGGGGGGCAGGTTCACATGGAACAAGGTGAAGGCCAGCCTGGCATCTCTCTCACTCTGACCCAGATTAGGGCAAGAAAGTCTACAGAGCCCCTTCTCCAGCAACAAAAGGATTTTTCACTGACCAGTGTGCTGAGGCCTTAGAAGCCATTATGCCCAGAAGCCTCTCACTTATGCCAACAAGTGTTTTGCTGTTCCACCTCCCCGACCTAAAGGCAGCTTTCAGGGCCTGAGGGCGTTCTGAACACCCTGGATGAGAGCAATGGATTGTTTATGTTAAGGGCCCAAGTGCTTTTCTAAAGCCAAGTACTGCTCTATTACACTAATCAAAAATAAAATCAGATTTAAACGTATGATATCCAATTTCTCCTGTACCTCACAAACTGGTTTTGAAGGCAACTCTGATAAGAACTAGCTTTATTAGAATATACAATGTGTAGAGAGGTTTAACCGAGTTTATATTAATGGAGTATTTACTGTTTCATCAAATTTTAACAGACCTGATTTTATCCTCACATGAACCCAACAGCTAACCCAGACTCCAAAAGATGAAGTTCCTGGCCCCTGTAAGGTCACAGTCTAAATCCACACCCAGGGACATGTCCAGCACACTGTAATGTCTCTTACGGTCTCCTGAAATGCTCCCCTGAAACAGATGGTCAGCACGCAAGCTCCTGGACCTGTGTACGGGTCACCCCACAGGAGTCAGGGCAGGCAGTGTTACAGTGTCTTCCAGCTGTAAAAGCTGTAACTGTAGTCCCCTCCCCAAACCACAGACCCACCTGTCTCCATTTCTCTTATTAGTAAAGACCTACCACTATACAACATCTGACTTGGCTGTCAGCTCACTCCCCTTCACAGTCTGAGTTGATGTCATCACACTTTACCTTAACCAACAGATTCCCAACTTCCACTCAGCACACACGGGACACCCTAAAGACACAAGAAGTGATCAACCACTCACTGCGTACCTGTTAGATACAGAGTAAAGGAGATGAAGCGGTGGTATTTGCTAAGAATCCGCAAGGGCTCCTCTCTCTGGACCAGAGTGAAGAAGTAATCTGTTACTGTTTCACCATAGAAGAAATAATTTACACACAGGAGGAAGTACCTGGAAACAGAGGCAGGTCAGTACACTGCATGCATGTATTCCCCTTGTCCCCAAAAGGATGCCTCCACTCTTGTCAGAGCGGTCTCTCTGCCTTCCCCCTACCTGGAACATCCTCTCAACTTACCCCATTGTTCATTGCTCAGAATTGCTCAGACCATTGTCTTTGTAAAACTTCACATGACCCCACATGTCTGTTCTCCCCTGCATTTCTAGAGCGAGCAGCAGTTATTCATTTCCCAAGGCAATGATTTCTGGCCCAGCCACTCAGAGTGTCTCCCTCTCTGAAGCCAGGGTGACAGGAAACCTTCTCCAGCATTCACCTCCCCTAACTCAAGCTGCTCTCCTCCTGTGAAGCTCCTTAAAGAGAGGGGCCATAGCTCCTAGTCCTCCATGGCCATGCAGCCACCACTGCAAACTCCAAACAAGGATCCTGAGATCAGGAAAAAGGACTTTCCCTCTTTTTTTTTTTTTGCATTGCTGGAGTTCAAGAATTTCCAATCTTAGATTTATCTTTTATTACACAGGAAAAAACTTCCTTTGGTAAGTGACCACATACAAGAGGTCAATCCCTCCTGTCCGTTAACAAAATTCAGGACATTGCTTTTCAGACACAGAGCAGCCACATCATAATGCAGACAACCATGGCAGATCATCTGGAAGCTAGGAGGGAGCCTGCCTCTTGAATGCCCAGCCTAGTCCAAGCACATCAGCCTACTTGGCCAAGACCAAATTGCTGGGATCAAAATAGTACTTTTCAGCCCGACTACACTGTAGAAATCAAACCCTGTGTCCTGGCATGATGGGGTGGGAAGTCTTCCCAACAGCATGGAATGCTCTGGTCAAATGTCACCAATCTGTGTCGTGTACTATCAAGTAGATTCCAACTGACAGCGAGCCTGTATGCAGAGCAGAACTGCCTCACAGGGCTTCCCGGGCAGTGATCTTTATGGGAGGAGACTGCCAGCTCTTTCCTCTTTCAGAGCAGCTGTGGGCTCAAACAATTTGAACCCTTTTGATGAGCAACTGACTGCTTACCCACTGAGCCATCAGTATAGTGTAGAATTGACAAAGCAGAGGCTTTCAGATGAGGAAGGAATCGACCTCTAACACCATCTGCTCTACAGGGTTCTCGTTTGTGTTTGCTTTAAGGCAACAGAGCCCTTTCTTAGGTAAGGAGGAAAAGGTTTCTCTGGAGGAGGCCAAATGCTCTAAAACCACAGTTTGAAAACTACAAAATCTCAAGCACCGGTTTCAGAGATGAGGAAACCAAATTCCAGAGATGACAATACCACCAGCACCAGAACCTTCCAGCTCCCAGACAACTCTAATAAAACGCTGGGATGCGACAGCATGGGAAACACACTGATCCAGAAGAGAAGCACTGTCATGCTGAGGAGCCCAAATGCCAAGGTGGATGTGGTCATGGACGCAGCTGGTCTCATTTCTCCTGAGAAAGATTCCAGGCAACTGGTAACTACTGAAGACTCCTCAAAGCCCAGTCATACAGGCTGGCCTATGAAATACCCCAGCCTCCAAAGTGTTGTACAGGCCTGTAGCCAGCACCCCTGTCTCCTACCTACCACTACAGAACACTTATGCCCATCTGTTAAGGATGCCTGTGGGGCTAGAGCTTACCAGCTGAGGGTCCGGAACCAGGGCAGGTCATAGGAGTGGTAGACATTGTAGCCAATAGTGATTATCTCATGGAAACACTTAATCTGAACACACATCACCTGCAGAACACACAAAAATATTACGACCACTTACTGACAATCCTTGTGATACTTGGAAGCAAAACCAACAGGTCATGAGCTGCTGTAGTTTGAAATGATGTAACCTCCCCCCAAAAAATATGCTCTAGTCGTAACCCCTGTACCTGTGAATGTGATCTTGTTTAGGGACACAAGGTCTTTCTTTGAAGACACTATCAGTTAAATCATATTGAAGTAGGGTGGATCCCAGTCCTAACTCCCTTCTGAGTGACGTCTTACAAAAGAGGAGAACAGATATGAAAACTCACAGAGGGAAAAGACAGCAGCCATGTGACAATGGAGGCAGATGCAAAGGACACCAAAGATTGTTAGCAGCTACCACAAACTAGGAGAGAGACAGAACGATTCCTCTCTCACAGCCCTCAGAAGGAAGTAACATAGCTAATACCCCTAAATCTGGATTTCCAGCTTGCAGAACTATGAAATATTAATTTCGGTGGTATTCTGTTATGACAACACTAGAAAACTAAGACTTGGACCTTCAACTAAATCCATTTTAATTTAACAAAAATTTCCATCCTATACTGATTCCCTGACCTCTCTTCCTTCTCTCTTAACTCTTTATGTCATAGGAGAAAAGTCAATTTCCCACAATAAATACATGCCCTACTATTTTAATCAACTTTTTATTCTAGAACCTCCCAGAACTAAATCATCGCTCTCTTTCATCTTGACTTCGGATACAAATTCTAGGAAAAGCCCCAGCTGTGTTGCTCAGCACTCAGCTATTAAGTCACCTGACCTATCCATGATGGTGGGAAGGCTGAGAAAAAAACACTGCGTCCTGGGATTGCTTCATGCAAACCCCAAGCCCATTAGTGACACCCCAGGAAAGTACGAAACAAAACCAAAGACACTAAATTAGGTGACTTAGCTAGCTAATGCTGCTGTAGGAGAAATACCGCAGAGGGAGAGCTTTAACAAACAGAAATTGAAGTCATTAGCCCTAGGGAAAAGTTTCCTCTCTGTATCGTTCTGAAGGAAGGTTCTTGTCTCTTGTAATTTATGCTGCAGGGCAATCTTCAGGCTGCTTGGCATCTCTCTTCCACATCTCTGCTCACTTGTTTCATCTCTTTTATAACTCAAAAGACATTAATTCAAGGCACATCCTACACTAATCCTATGTCATGAACATAAACATCCCATTCCCAAATGGGATTATAACCTCAAGCAGAGAGATTAGGAATTACAACACCTATTTTGAGAGGACACAATTCAATTTATAACACCAGAGTTTAACAAAACAGCTGGAATAATATTAAAAGTAAAGCGACATCTTCAACCACAAACAATTGGCTTGTATCCATGTCTCTTCCAAGGGGCCAATGAAGTCTCAGGTGTTCTACTAAGGCAGAAATGTTCTAAGAAGCCTAGACTCCCCATTGATACCAAGACCCAACCCAACACCTGCCATTTATGAAGACCAGTCCTGCAGGTAAAAATGAAGGCAAATAGCACTTACAATCATCATTAAAACCATTGGTCCAAGGTAAATGATGATGAAGAAAAATGCAATCATGGCCAAAGTCAGGATGCCTCTCACCCACCAGTTCTTCCATCTAGGTTAGAGAATAGGGAAAAAAAAAAAACAAAAAACCACCAGTTAGGAGTTCAGAAAGACCACAGCATAAGCCCTAGGGGGATGGTTCTTGCTGGGACTAGAGCCCTGAATGTCAGTTCTTCCCAAGAATATCTATCGCCTTTGCCTTGATGGAGGGACTAGCCACATGCTGTCAGGAGGGGCAGGGGGCCCTCACCCACAATCAAACTCAGCAGGTACTCCCAGGTTTGCAGAAAAAACTCCCAGCTTATGTCCTATGAAGGAATCAGTCAAAGCAATCAGGCGAATGAATATCCTCTGATTCTGTATCCATTTGGAAGACTTCTATGTCTACCTCTAACTGAAGACAAAACTATAAACATTTTTCCCCACAGCAGAATCCTACCTTGTACTGCTCCCGCATTGCTGGGATGGTGATGATAAATTAATGATAAAACCAACACAAATACGTGCCAAGCACTTTTAAAAGGATATTACACATATCAGCTCACTGAAACCTTAGAATAACTAGCTTTGACAAACGAGGAAACTGAGGCAGACAAGTCCTACAGCTGGCAAAAGGTGAAACAGATTTGAATCCAAGGATCTGATCCAGAATCCATGCATTACCCACTACACAGAACAGCCTTCCAAAGGAAGGAATGGGCAACACATAAAGAACACTCTTAGATACTGTTCTGTGGTCTCATCATTTGTGTTTTTAATCTACCCACACAGCTGGTGTTGGAAGGACTAGATTCTCAGGGGTCAAAAGTTTTCATTCTAGATCCACTCAAGTTTAGATGGTTTTTAGGCTCTTCCTGGAGAATTTAAGGACATTTCACAATGGACATATGTAGGAGAGGGGAAATTACACGTTGAACTAGAATTGTGGACTCCACAGTGAAAGGGACTCCAAGGATTTCTCTGGACATGCTCTGTGCCAGCCACTACTGTCCATCAGCAGATACAGGGGAGACCCAGGTCATGGCTAGAGCACTGGCCTTCCACACACCCTTCGATGGAAGTGGATCTCAAGGACTCTGTGTCTTCAAAGAACACCCCATCATAAGTCAGGTTACCTTGAAGACAAGTTGGAAAGGGCCCTGTTGAGGACCTCTGGGGTATCATCAGCAGAGGTTGGAGGAGGAGCAGGTTCCGCTCGACTCTCATTGTCTGATGCTGTCTCTCCATCAACCTTCGCTTCAGACTCCGATTCCTACAGCAGAAACACAAAGAGGGGAGGTCAGAAGTCTGAGGAGAATATTGACAAGTGTAGTGTATGCCTGTCATGGGACATCTGTGGGGAAAGCCCATAAGCAGTTTGAGTACCCTGGTGCAGGCAGGTGACAAGAACAGGCCGACTGCTCTGATGCATGGCATGTGCGTGGAGAAAGGATTCATCATCTCCTGGTCTTAGGTGGGTGTGGTGGGAGATATGGGGTCAGAGGCGCAAAAAACATGCTCTTTGTATCCAAAGAATGCAAAAGGAGACTGCTTGGATTTCAGTGGACCTTCAACAGACTCTGCCCCTGGGTACAAGTGCCCCTAGGTTTCTTTCGTGCCAGAGTTTGGCTGTGAGACACCAAAAAGACGCATTCATCTTGTGAAAGCCTCTCTCCTCCAACACTGAAGTCACCCAGGACTGAGTCTAGTCCCCAGCCCCAGACGCCTCTCTCCAGGTGGATGGAATGAAGAGGAAGGCATTGAGAAGAGACTTGCATTGTGTTAACTTTATACCCACAGTCCAGGTCACAACACACAGCAGGCTGAAGGAATGCAGCTGAGATTGGAGGACTCTCTGAAACTATTGCCTTGAGATACTCTTTAAACCTGGGGATGAAACCTGTCACCTTTTAGCTATAGTAACAGATTGGCTCACAAGATAAACAAACATATCACCCCTAAATTTTGTGCTCCTTAAAAAAAACAAAAAAAAAAACCACCTATGAGTGACCAAACAGTCAACAATGATTTTAAAACAAAAATGAGAATGTGAGGAGGCAGAGAATTCTAGATTAATGGAAAAAGAACCATTAGAACAGAAACGAGAATGTTCACCCATTGTGAAGAATGTCACTCAACAATTCCCCATTCGAGTTTGGGAAGAAGTTGTTGAATGGAAATCTAAACTACTGTGCAAGCACCGAATACTACAAAAAAGCAAAACCAGATGAGGTACTGCTGTTGCGTGACTATCTAGATCTGGCCAACGGGAGTCTCTGGGCCCCCTATGAGACCCACTCCCTACCCCCTGTTCTCCAGGAGGATGGGAGCTTGAGCAAAAGCAGGTGAGCAGGCGCACATGCACATACACGTGCACATACACGTGCACATGGAAGGCCCACACAATGAGGTTATTTTTAACTGATCCATCCTGTTGTCAAGGAGATTCTCAAAGGCTGCTGCTCCCCAGGCAGGGGAAGGGCAGGCACTGAGCTGGCAGGGCTCCTGCAGGGAGTCGAGCTTGGTACTGGGAGGCTCTGAGGGTCTTCCAGACCCTACAAATACCACCTATCAGTCTTCCCTCTCTCCTTGCTGTGGAGGAACCTTAGGGCAGAAAGTAGAGAGCCCTTACAAAGACACTGAGGCTATTGTTATACCAAGACAACAGAGTGGCCTAATGATGCCCAACTAAGACAAAAAGCAAACACCCTGAGGAAACAAATCTGACAGAGATTTGCTTCCCAGGTTTTACCTGCAGGTAACTTCAGGGTCTCTGGGCCTCACCCCACTCCCACTGAAGTAGCACCTCAGAACCCTGTTACCTGGAGGAGACAAACTACACAGACCACCACTCTCCCACAGCTAAAATGGGGCTCAAAGAGGAGACAATGCAAACCCCGTGAGAAAGCAACGGGTGTATCCCAGAAACATTGCAGGGAGGGAGGTGGCAGTCTGCCAGCCCTACGGTTTCCTGCCCCCTAGGTGGGGACGCAGCCACAAGTGAGCAGGCCAAGGGGACAAAACCCTAAGAGCATGAAGGACTGGGGTTTTCTGACTCCTCCTTGGAGGAACAGCTTCTTGTGCCTGGTTGTTGTTGTTGTTGTTAAGTGCTGTTAAGTCAGGTCCAACTCATAGTGACTCAGGATTTCTGCAGAGTGCCTAGTGGGTTTGAACCGCCAACCTTGTGGTTTAAACCAACTTTGCGGTCCAGTGCATTATTCTGCAGCACCGCACCAGGACTAAAGGAAAGTGCTGATGGCACCTTCACACTGCATGTAAAAGGCTGGGCCTTGGAGCCCAAGTTCTTGTTCAGAAGGAAAGAGGTAGGAGCTGGATCAAGAGCAGGTTCACTGGTTTGTTAGCTGGGGGATGGAAGGCCAGGCAGGTGTCAGGCAAAGCTTTCTGCCACAGGCACCAGTCAGCATCAGCCAAGGAAAGCAGGGCCTGGTCCCAGTGCTGATGCTCACCACATGACGCTCAGCAGCAGCTCAGGCCTCTAGTCCTTGGTCTCCACAGGAAACTAAGAAAACTGTTAAGTGCTGTCGAGTTGGTACTGACCCATAGCAACTCTGTACAAGGTTTCTGAGGAGCAGCTGGTGAGCTTGAACCACCGACCTTGCAGTTCAAACGGCTTTGCAGTCTGGCGCATTAACCCACAGCGCCACACCAATGAGAGGTGCTATATAAACATTTCTCCATTGCACCCCACCCCCAAATTTCAGTTATTCTCTCCCAGCACTTCTAAACTGAGGAGATTCTACCTAAGCCACCATCCAAGCTCCCCCAGCCCTGCAGCCTTTTCCCAGGGGGGTTGTGAAAAGGAAGAAAACAGGAAACAAGAGTGCTATTTCGGGAAGGGGACTGAGGGGAGGAAGCTCCTTCCTACAGATGTGCTAAAGTACTTTTAAGAGTGATGGGTCTGTGGCTGTCCTGGGTGCCAAGGGCTCCAGCCAGCAAGCTAGAAAAGCTTCCCCTGCCAGCCTTTCAGGACCTGTCCCCCAGCTGTCCAGGCCTGCCCTCCCCACCCAGCTCACAACGCGATGGCTGTGGGAAGGAATGTTCTTGGTAGTCAACATTTGGCTTTTGTAAAACTCATTTTCAATGTTGTTTTCTAAGCTGGAAAACCCTGCTGTTCGACCCTACCCCATCTACTACATCCTCTCAATTCTTAGGATTTCCTGCGCAACTGGCCTGGCATTAAAAAGCTTACCATGCATCCTTCTGAGGCTCCCTTTTGGTCATCATTTTCTCCCAGGGCCTACCCTTCTACTCCCAAACTTCTCTAGACTCCATGGTGACCCCCCACAAGTGGCAATGGTCAGAGCTTAAACCTAAAAAAGTACAGTGGAAGCCGGAGTTGAACAGAGCCCATGGCATGGTGCCAACCAGGGTTCCAGGAATATGGACTCCATACCCACCCTACACCCGGTTTCTTTACCAGATGCCAACTCAGTTTGGGATCCTGCTAAATAAAATGTACAAGTAATCAGTTCATGTTTGCCTAAAAGGAAGTAAAAACTAAGAGATGAAAATAGGTAGTGCCACTCGACTAGGTTTTTTCTTCTTCTTCTTTTAGAAAAATGTGTAAAAGTGGATCAATTCAATAGTTGGTCATGCTTCCAACCATTTGGTCCTCCTTGCCATGGGCACTAGAAATTTAAACATTATACTGAAATTCCTAAAGTTCACATACAGAGTGGCTCTGGAATTGATAGACTATTTCTGGTGCTACTTTATATTCAAATTGCAAACCTTCTCCAGAAGGCAAGTCATTAGGCCAAGCCTGGCCTTTCACTAAATACGGTGCCTGCCATCTTCTTAACCAAGCCACATGGCCAATTGCTGGGATAATCAACTCCCCCATTTACAGATGTGTCCCCTAGAGAGAAGGGGCCAGAGATAGATTTATCTTTAACAAGAACATTAGGGACTCATGTGTCGTTGTCTCGCTCTCACTGAAATAGCCCAAGTAAGTTTCTGTCTGAGTCCTCAAGGGGACTAGATAAAAACATACACATATATTATGGATTCAGACAGTGGCTGCACCAATGGGTTCAAACACAGCAACGATTGTAAAAAGAAATTTGCTTCCAGCTTTGGGCCCATCCCCTCTGCAACAGAAACCAGAAAAATAATCTGATCGTCGTCATATCCTGTCTTGATCTCACTGATCCCCAGTACCCAGGTTGTTTTGTTATTAAGTGCTGTCAAGCTGGTTCTGACTCATTACAATCCTGTGTCGGGTTTCCAAGGAGTGGCAGTTCAAACCAACCTTGCAGTCCAGTGCTTTATCCTATAGCACCACACCAGGACTTCCCAGTGCCCATGGCTAGGTCTAAACTCTCTAAAATGGTTAACAAGCCCATCTGGAAGTCTTGTCTACCCTTGCAGCTTCATTTCTTACAGCCATACTGAACAAGATGTACTTTCTCACCCTTAGGCCTAGAAGTCTCTTTCCTGAAATCCACCTTCTCTTCTAAATAATTTCAATTTATCCTTGAGCTTCCTGTTGCTAAGAGATCCCTGTCTCTCCAAGCTTTCCCCAGCTGCCTGTGTGTACACGTGGTCCTGTCCTTCTCCAGTTGTGCTCCCCACGCTGTGCCACCTCCTCTAGTCCACAATTTCGGGGAGGGCTGGAACGATACTGGCTACCTCACCACTGTGACGCCAGCACGTGACAGAGCCTGCCTAGAACGGGGAGACAATAAATGGGTCTCCCCACACCTGAATTCACAGCCACAGTCATTTGGAGAGAATACAGACTTGACAAGATTGACAGATCCAGATCAGCGCTGTCTACATACAGCGTATCAGTTCAGTAAGCCAACACATATTTGCCTTTTAATAGCACTATGTGGTTGTTAAGTGATGTGGATTTGCAGCTGGTGGGTTTGAACCACCAACTGTGTGGTTAGCAGTCCATTGCTTATCTTATAGTGCCACACCAGGTCTCCTAATAGCACTGTACAAGGCATTATAAGGTTGTAAACAGTTGTTCCAATGTCCGCATTTCTCTCTTCTTCTTCTTCTTGTTAAGTGCCATCGAGTCAGCTCCAACTCATAGCAACCCTGTATAAGGTTTGAACCGACCTTGTGGTTCAAAACAACCTTGCAGTCCAGCTCACTAACCTGCAGTGCCACACCAAGACTCGGACAGTATAATAGAAGCTCATACACACTGGACTCAATGACTGTGGATTTGGGTGTTTGGGAGTTTTTATAACAGAAGCTCTGATTTTTATCTAGGATTAGAATAAACACTATTTTCTCATTCTAACCAATGAGATGTTAGCACAAGTGGCACATGCAATTCTACCAATCTTCCTTTATGTTTACTAAAATGTGGGCAGCCTGCTTGGAGCGCCAGCAAACATCTTGGACCATAATGTGAAACTCCACTGCCACTGAGTCAAATCCAACTCAGTGATCCTACAGGG